GAGAGAGAGAGAGAGAGAGAGAGAGAGAGAGAGAGAGAGAGAGAAAACTGTGAGGATTTAGAAAGAAGCCCTGATTATGTACAGGTTTCACTTCTGTTTATCAACCAGGGCATTTGGCTGTGGGAAATGGTGACAGCATCCTGGATGTATCTGGCACCTAGCTCTTCCCAGTCCTGCCTCTTTGTCAGAGTGTGGCTAGGACTGTGGGGCCCATCTCAGAGGACCTAGGTGAGGTCTGGGAGTGTTGGGAGGGAAGATTAGTCCATGGAAGCCGAAGGCTGGTTCTTGCATTGTGTTGCAGCTCTGGTCAAAAGTCGAATTCTTTGGGTGGTCTTGCTTGTTACGTTGCCACAGAGACTACACTATGTCAGTGCAGGCCCATCCTCTCCCTTTCAGGAGGAATAGTTTGTGAGGTGAAGGGTCATTCTTTTTAGAATTTTTATTAGTACCTGTTTGCAATACATAATGATTACATTCATTATGGGGAATTTGGTATGTGTATATAATACATTCAGTTCTTGTTTTATCCCTTTTCCTTCCACCTGTTTTCTATTTTTTTTTTTTGCCAGCATCACATTTATTTATTTAAATATTTACTTATCTTGCAAGTCTTTATCAAGTTAATTATCATAAACATAGATTAATAGCCAGTCTAACAAGCCAAAAGATAGGATCATTCTTATTGAAAGATGGTGTATTCTCACACTCACATGGATGTCAAATATGAATGTGCTAGAGCCCCAAAAATGATTTGCTCAAGAAAGACTAGGGTAGGGGGCTGGTGAGTCTTGTTAGCTATTGAGACCTTAGTTTGAGTCAATTTGTCAGAATTCATGGTCACCATCAGGGGTGTGGGGAGGCCAAAGGGGGGAGCAAAATAGAGTAGAAGCCACCCCAAAACAGTCATGGCATGCCTTTGAATTCTGCTAGTAAGTATAATAGCTAATACCATTTATTAAGGGCTTGCTATATGCCAGGGATTATGTAAAGCATTTTATATCTATTGTTTGATGGGAAAGAATTGCATCTTTATTTTTATTATTCCTAGTAGGTATTTAGCATGTCTTTCCTTTATGAATTTGGTAACAGGCTGTGATCTTATTCACAGGGCTGTGAGCTTGTCATCCTGGACATTACAGATATGGAATCAAAGATGATGGATGCTGAGAATCAATAAGAAGATCTAGAGTATTTTTTCTACTTCAGTTATCAGAAGATATGGGGACAGAAATTGCTTTTTTCATTGCTTTATGAGCCGTGTCGGCATAACCAACTGAGGGAAGATGCCCGGCATGCTGTTAAGAAGGCAATGTGAGCAACAGTTCCAGGTTGTTGCTGATGGAAATTTCCGTGCATGTGTCTTCGGGCTGAGATATGAATTTATTAGACTCATATGGAAACCTGAAAAGGGCTCTGATTAACTCATCAGTCTCATTTACTTTTCTTTTCCTCCTCCATTCATGCCCTTCATAATAAAACACAGCTCACATCCCATGAAATTTACTGTGTAAAAAAAGTGTATATTTTGATGATTTTTAGTATGTTCACAAAGGTGTACAACCATCGCTTCTGTCTAACTCCAGAACATTTTCATCACTTCTATGAAGACCCCTTAGCATTAACTAACTTTCTACTCCTACCTCTTGGACCTGGCAATCATTGATCTTCCTAGTTCATCTTGTTTTATAGTTTTCAGCTTTCAAGTCTTGTACTTTTATTTTATTTATTTTAAAGGAAAGTATTTTCCAGAGAAGATGTTCCTCTAGTGAGGAGCATATCCTTTTCCCCTGGTGCTAGGGATCAAATCCAAGGCCTCACATGTACTAGGCAAATGCCCTACTATTGAGCTACAATCCCAGCCATAAAAATGCTTACTTTGTATGTGTGTGGTGGGGGTATGTGTGTGTACTAGGGATAGAACCAGGGCCTTTGAACTAAGCTATACCCCCAGATTTTAAATTTTATTTATTTATTATTTTATTATGAATAATTTTTTATAGAAGGCCTTGCAAATTCTGTAGGCTACTCAGACTGGATTTGAATTTATAGTTTTGCTGCCTCAGCCTACCATAGTCCCTGGATTATAGGCTTATGCTGCTTTGCCTGGCTAATGCTTTTTCTTTTTCTTTTGTTTTGAGGTGAGGACCATTTTTTACTGACAACATTGTTTTAACCCAATGACTGTAATTTTTGTCACACATACTTATGTTTCATTCTGTACACAAAGCAGTTTATTATCCAGTTTTTCTTTTGAGTTTCACAAAACAGATGGGCAAGGCAGGTATTAGAATGCCCTCAATTTCTAGAACAGGAGTTGGAGAGCTAAAGAGTAAATTAGTTGGTAACTCTTAAAGTGGAGTTCAATCTCAGGTGCAGAATCCTGTCTTCTGGATCCTGCTGGGTGGGTGTGGTCAGGGAGTGATCAAGTTACTGAAGGTGGGGAGCCAGGTGCGATGGCTGGAACCCAAAGTCCTAGCAGTGTGGGAGGCTGATGCAGGAAGATTACAAGTTTGAGCTCAGCCTGGGAAATTTATGAAGATTCTATCTCAAAATATAAAATGAGAAAAAGGGGAAGCTGGGAGAATAACTCAGTCTGAAGGCTCTGGGTTCAATCCCCAGTAACACACACACACACACACACACACACACACAC